GGAATTCATTCATATTAATATTTAACTATGACAGATTATTAACTAAAGTACATTTGAAGTATGAATAAAAGGTGTTTTAAGGTTTTTTTTTTTTAAATATTTATAAGACAAACTACGTAACTTGGAAACAAATTTGAAGGTTGGGTGATTAGTTTATGTCTTAACATTGAGGCATTTGCATGGCTATTAAGAGCAGGCAGTCCCACTCTCTTTCTTTCTGAACTTGAGTTGACTCCTTCACATTCACCATGGCAACCCCAACGAGCAACACGTACACAGACTCTGAAGTGTACTGACAAAACTTTCCAACCTTAATAATGAATAGGTATAAGGTCTATTATTTGAGACTCTCTCAACAAGTCACTGCAAAGGTACTGTAATTCTAGAGTGGCATTTCTTTCTCACAGTGCACCACCATGGAGGCCTAATCCTAGAGTGCAAAATCTGGGAACATTTGTGTTTTTCCCTGTTACATTTTCATAATATATGGCTAAGCCCCATTGGTCCCCTTCTTTATCCTGACACTTATCAATATAGCTTGGTTTGCATCATCTCAGTTTAAACAAAGAAAGTAACACTAGAAGGCAAATACTGCTGGAGCAGACAACTTTGGTTTAATGCATCTTTTCCTTTAGTGGGAATGCAAGCCTCAGCTGCTGTAATATTTAGCTGAAGCAGATTCCCCGTATGCTTATCTGTTTAATCGCTCACTTATCTAGGCCAGCTGCTGCTCCAGCCCCTCCTAACTGGAAGGAAGTTGCCTTAGTATCCTGGGGTTTAAGCCTGCAAGGTTGCTACCTAGAACCTGCACCCAAATCGGCATCTGAAATAGCTCTTTTATAAATAGCATTGCAATGTTTTCTAAAAGAGATAAGCTTTGAGAGTATGATTTTATTTCAGCCTTTTATCACTAAGCATTTTATCACTTTACTTTTATGTGAACCAAGGCTTGATTATTGATTTCATAACCAAAGAATGACTTTGGTTCTGCTTAATATCACTTAAAAACTTTTACATAAATTAATTCTATTTTTTGACTTATCAAGACAGCTTTGTACTCAAGGGTAGTTGTTATTCCTTCCATTTAACTATTTGAGTCAGTTTAATGATACATTAATGACTATTAAAGTGAACTGGAAACTATTATATGGTTGAATTCCTTCTAGAGCTCCTGAAAAGCTTGAAATCAAAGCCTCTTTCCAAGCTTTATGTGTATATTTTTTCCCGAAAAAATTGCTATAAATCTGAGTGGTGAACATGGCATTTGTGCAACTTCTCCCAAAATTTGATCAGTCCAACTGTCTTCTAGTTTTAATATTTCATAAAAATAGCATGTTAGCCATGAATAATAAGGCACCTCAAAAGCTGTACCGGTATTTACTTTTTCTGGCTCCTTTTGAGACAAATGGTCTTATTGGACATTGATTTGCTTAGTCTTAAGAATTAGAACTTCATATAAAAGACAAAGCAAATTGTGTAATAATGTATGCACTTGTACTGGAAAAACAAATATAATAGAACTAAATTTTTTGTTTAAACAAATGAATTATATGATATGCATCTAAAGCCTCAGTGTAAGTCATTTCTCTTGCACAAATATGCACATTGTGCCCTGTGCCAGCATGGAAGGTGGAGTTCTGCAAAAGCTTCAAGCATTCGAAAACCACTTCTCTGACTTACATTAAACCAGTTGGGACATGATAAGAGAATGCAAGGTGTAAACCCCTTGAGGGCTGTGAGTCACCATCTAGAAAGGTTCTTGAAAAGGTGAAAACATTTTATAGTTTGATCAATAGAAGCTTGAGAAATAGGCATCAGGGTAAAGATAAGTTAAGGATTAAAAACTTTTAGACACTTGAAGAATTGAATTACTATCCTAAGGAATTTCCCAGGAGAAAGACAGGAAGAGAGACACTTTTTCATCACATCTCAACCTGCAACCTTTCTATTTGGTCAAAATTCAGCCAAAATAGATTTGATGAACACCAGTCCTTATTACCTTAGTCCTGATGCAGAACTATGATACTTCAAGAGTTTTTTAGAGACCCAAGTGCCCACTGTAGTAGTTTTGGGTACCTATCAAGAGGAAGTATAGGGTGGTGTTGCAGACTTCAAAATTCAAGCCATTTGTTCATAGATTATTTCATTGAAAGAGGTTCTTATCCTATTTTTCCAGCCAGATTGAATTTATACTTTGAAAATGTATGAAATGGTGTTGCAGCTGGGTCTTCCTGAACTGTCTCACCACTGTTATATTAGTATAAGTTAACAAGCTGTTGCATTAATATGGTTATAAGAATTTTGATTATGTTTGTAAAGGGGGCAGTCAGTTCAATGGTGTAGCCACTAGAGCAAGTACAAAAGTTTAAATAAAGGAGTCTGGCTGAGTGTAAGTAAAGAATTTCTGAACTCAGAACAGATTCTCAGAGTTATTTCTAGTCCTTTGGCTTTTACCCTATGCTCAGAAAATTTACAGAACCCTACCAAGAGATGTGACTAAATAAAAGCTTTGACTTTCAAGAGCACTATTTATATGCTATCTCCAGCATGAGCAGATCAGAGCATGAACTGCCATATGCCAGCCCATGGAAGAAATGGGTCTCTTTCTGGGGTGGCAGGGTGAGGGTGGGAGTGGTGTGGTGGCCATGAGGAAAGGTAATGATGGCAAGAAAAGCCCCAATTAAGGATTCATGTCTGTAGAGTTGGGGTTGCATTCAGCACAGAGCCCTTTTTCCAATTCTCTATCTGGTTGATGTGAAGGAGGTTTTGTGTAGAGCAATTTTTAGTACATCCAATCAGAATGAGGAATGCTAATTCCCTTGATGAGACACCAAAGAGAAAAAGTAGGAGACAGCAAGAAGTAGAAGAAGTTGGGCAAGGTGATGAGCTGAGTCTCATTTGCTCCTCACTGTGTACTGGCCCCATTCATGTCTCACTGGGACTCCGCAGCCTCTTGAGCTCTGTGACAGATGCTCACTCCTGCAGGGAGTGGCCGGGTTGCATTCAAACCCTGTACAAATCATAGAGCCTGTAAAGGAGGGTCTCCTGTTCCTGGATCTTGTTTTCTGGGTAAAAAGGGGCAAGTGTCTGCATAGCTAGATGGCCACCTTAGATACCATCATTTCCTCTTCCTGAGGAGCACCTATGTGACCCTCACGGTGCACGATGTGTCAGCTACTGCCACACGGATTATCGTAGGTTCTATGCAAACAAAAACAAAAAACAAAAACATTTAAAATACATTGCAAGACCTACTTCACAAGGGCATAAAAATAATTCTACCCAGAGAGTCAAAATATTGTTTTGAGTTGAAATTAATGTGCACACTTGCTTGTGAACACTGAACCTGAAAGATCTGAGGTCTTCCCATTTTAGAGGTCATCTAGAAATATCAAAGCTCTCCTCAGTCTCCATGGATGGAAAACGTGAACTCCCTTTTGTTTGCTGCTTCTTGTGGTTTATGATTCCCTGTTCAGGTGCTCTCTCTAACTCACTAGTTAGAGAGAAGAAAGTCGTGTAGGGCTGTTCTGGAATATGTCTTTCTGGTCAAACCAGTGAAACAGGTCTCACAGCTGCCCTGTTAGGGAGCCAAGTTCACCTAGCCTGGGTTCTGAGTCTGGGCACAGCATCTAGCCAAGTGGGACTTGCAAAGGCCCTCTGCCCCAAAAAACCTCTTGGGCAGGTCTTCTTCTGAAACATTGCATATTTCTAATGGGGAGGAAAAGAACTGAAATAGTTTTCTGTCCAGGAATATTCCATTGCAAAGGCTGACTTCACACCTAACAAAGATGCCTTTTTTTAGAAGGCAGTCATCTGTGAAAGCTAGGATGATGGGGTTTGAATTTGACAAAGGAATGCAACTTTTCTCCAGACAGGTGACTCTTTTCCCATGTTCCTTCCATTTTCATTAACCAGCAGTAATCCTTTGTAAAAAAAAACAAAACAGCCTCCTGTTCCATGCCCCAGGCAGTCTTCCTGTGTATTGCCATCTGTGGCAGGTAGTCATGTGTTCTGGTAGGAGTTTTGACCTTGAACTCGAGTTGTGGGGCTTCTTGGAGTAGAGCTCTCATTAGGCCTGCCTGTTCTCTTCTGAGGTTCTTCAGTTTCTTCTCTTCTCAGATCCTTCTTTAGAGGATCATTTTGGATGGGATAAGTAAAGGCATAGGCTCAAAATGATGAGGCATTTTCCCTCAGTCTGAAAAGGTTATAGCATGTGTAGGTGGGTGTTCCTGGGTGTGGAGGAAGGAAGAAAAAGTCTTATCTGCCAGGATCCATGTGCAGTGTGTGCCTTAACTCTCAGAGAGACCCTTTGCCCTTCTGCCATGCTACTACCTGACCATCTCAGGGTCCTTCATAGCTGTCAGTCATTTTCAGGAACCAAAATGTAATGAAGAGATGGCTGTTCCTGTTGACAGACAGGTAAACTAAAGATGAAAGGCAAATTAGTATGGGAATCAAATCCAGTCAGTTTTTAATTTCCATCTTGAAATCAAGCTGTATTCCCCCCCCAAGAGTAAAAGTAAGGGTTACAGCTACTTAATGAAAAAAAATTCATATGCTGTAAATACCATACTGTGTTAAATTCACAATTGTTACAGTCAATGCAATACTTTTGTAGCTTAGTATGTTTAGATTCCTAAAAGTGGAAAGAAGAGTTCCCACCTAGCTTTCTCTCAAGCATATAAATTTAGTGCAAACTCCGGTTTTAGGGAGATTTATGTGGCTGGATTGACATTGCTTAATAAACAATCGAAAAAGTTAAGCATAACCTAGAAGTCATTAAGAACTATGAGTCACTTTCATGACAAGCCAATAAGGTAAGAGAACCAGGGTTGCAAAACAATTACTAGCCCAGCCTGAGGGACCCTGGAAATATATTACAGGTATCAGTTAGGAAAACACAGCAGTAGTGTTTTACCACTCTGCAGAGAGCAAGCTGAGGTTGCTAACCAAACAAAATAACTTTACACTGACAATGCCAATTTTTACATTTGTTTCAGAACAAGGAACACTCAAACCATCAGAGGTAAGATTAACATTTAAGATTTTTTATGTAACTTTTACATTTCAGGTTGTTTGCTAAGTTAAGCAGGCATGAGCTTTTAGAATGTTAAATGTGCCTTTTAAAATGGATAGAAGCAGAGGGAGACTGAGCAACCAAGTGCTTATAAGTGAAATGAACAGGTTAAATCCGAGGAATTTCCAGTTTTTGTCTGAAGATCTTCGGTAGAGGAAAAATGTGAATATTTAATCTAAGAATGTGTGTGAAATGAGATATTTCAGAATCTTAGGTACTTATTCATGTAAATTTCGAATAAACATTGAACAATGTTGTAGCATTAATATGGGGATTGATTTCCCTAGTTGCCCACTACAGAATTCCACAAAATCCTGCAGTTTATAAAACTTAATGCATCTCAAGGCATTTCCTTTGCATAAAAACTTTTGGTCCTTTTAGTACAGATGGAATTGCGGCCCTCATCCCAGGAAGTTGGTAGACCTGACTCCTGTCAGGAAACATTGTGTTGCTGCCCAACGTTTGCTGGTACTGAAAAGTTTTAACACTGTTCATGAAAAGCTGTGGTTTCATGTTTCTAGTAGTTTTCCATTTGAGCACAAACATGATTTGCATCATGTCTTATTGATCAAATAAGATTTGATAACATTTCCTTTTGGTTTAACACAGATTCTAAGGTCTAATGGCTCAAATGTATGTGACCTTGTCATCTCTCAGAATAAAGATATTTTTGAAAATATGAAAGAATGAAAAACTATAGCAGATTCCAGATAACCATTGCCTTGGCCTTCAGCCAAAAGTATCACATTTCTTACCTGACCTTCCAAAAACTGTATCATAGAGAAAATTAAAATATGAAATGTGTGTGATTAGTTAGGTGAACCAAAAGTAATCTGAGAATTTCAGATTAAAAGAATGATAAAATCCTATGCTGAATTATTTTAACACATAGCAATTCAATCTTATTAAGAGTGGTGTTAATATTAGTATGTTTTCAATAGGCTGGCATTTATATAGTTGGTCAAAATAATGAAAAGTAGGTACAGGAAGACATCAATAAGTAATTCTTTCTGCTTTTTTGCATAAGCATTTAATTTGTACATAAGACTATGCAGACTCTGATAAGAAGCAATTCATATGCAACTCTGCAGTTTATCAGTTGATGATATTTAAATCCAGGAAGGATCCTTCCAGCAGTGCCGATGAAGACCTTGGAAAGCATTCTTCTAATTCTTACTCTCATGCTATTACTAGACATTGAGGCAGATTTCCTTGTAGAGCTCCGAACTTTACCTCAGTGTTACTTTACCTTTATCTTATTAGATGTATGTGTTATTTTTTTCCATTGAAGGTGATGTCATTTAATTTTATTTAACTAATGCGAAGTGGGTGTATTTACAGACATAGAATGTGCTAATAAGAAGTGGTTAATAATTTTCACATGATACTGAATAATTCTCTCCAGGCATTTTTATCCTCTTGAAAATTACAGGTAAACCTTTTATGAAAGAATTCATTTTCACATTGATTTTTTAAAATAAAGCATCAGTGTTTTAGTGACTTAACTTTTAAATATAATAAGTGTAATTTTTATTTACTGGGTGATTCTGCTTATAATCTTTATTTTGGATGGATAATGATAGTAAGCTCTTATGCTGGCCAACCCATTTAGAAACCTTAGGTTAAGGAAGACATGTAGCAGAAGAGCAATAAGAAACATCCCTTATTCCCACCAAGCCTGTGTGGAAGATGCTTGCACTCTCTGAAACAGATGCTTCTATAATGCTCAAGGAGTCTTCCCAGAAGTAAACAATGAAATCCTTTTGTAAGCTCTGTCATCTTTATTTTTTCCCCTCTTATAAAGATCATCTTTCTTCCCAGGTACTGATTTGTAGTCCTGTTATGTTCTCCTTTCAATAGCCATAATTGTGGGCTTTTGGTTTTAATTTTATACTTCATTTGCCAGGTAGGTCAGTTTTCAATATCCACAGGATTCATAACCACATCTGGGATGTCGATCTCACATCCTACGCTGGAGTGGACCTTTAGAAGCTTCTTCCAGCTCCAGGAAGCAAGGTCGTCATTAAATACCTAATTGATACATATATACTTACAGTCTATTCCTTAAATGTAGACTTTTCTACCTTTAAAGCAGGTAGAGGAACCAAAGCCAGTTCCATGTAGCAAATGACCCTTTGTTTGCTTTGTTGGTAAATGTAATGAAGAGAACTAGGTATCTCCCCAAAGATGCAAGTAGTGAGAGATTTTTGGAGGACAAAAGTATTTTTTTTAGAGAAAGGCAAGGTAATAGAGAAATAACTAGAATGCCTATAAAATTAGATTGGTTGGTTACACGCCCCGGTAGGCAGGTCGCAGGAGACTGAGGAGGGACCGATTGTTCTGACATCATGGGCTAAAGCTCTGTCCCAGGCTTTTGAGAGTATAGGTGGGAGAGGGGAGTATGTTGGACTGGGTATGTCAGAAAGACAATTGAAATTTGCATTTTAAAATTGTTTTAATCAGTTTTGCCAAACATTTTCAGGTGTTTTACAATATTAGATACTTTTTAGGTGCTTTTAAAGTATAATCATAAACTTTCCAACGGTACTTGGTTTAAGCAGCCGTAATTCCCTCTGTTTTTTTTTTTTTCCATGAACGAGGTCATAGTTCCAATGCCTGTAGAAATGTTTCTGTTCTCAGGGACACTGATTTTCAGTAACTTTCAGGAGGAAAAACCTAAAACATAAGCAATAGGGCAATAATTTAGTAGAAGATTTGATCCTTTATATGAATTTAAACATTTAAAATACATGAAGTTAATAATAATGGTAATAATAACAGATCACTTATAATAATAATGATATGCTATATATTAATAAGCTATCACTTATAGTAATAATCCTTACTATGTGGCAGAAACTGTTGCAATCATTTAATATTAATTAAGTCATTTGATTCTCACCACAAACACTATGAAGTAGGTACTATTATTATCCCCATTTTATAGATGAGAAAACTGAGGCACAGAGACATTAACTTGCTCAAAAACAGGTGCCAAGTGACAGGGTCTGAATTTGAGCTTAGGCAGATCAGCAGTTTTGATACTTGTTTTTCCAGTGCAGCTATCCAGCTTGCTCAGCATAGCTTTAGTGCTGATTTTAATGATCATATTAGGCATTTACAAATCCATTTTGAAAGTAGGTGGGCTAAAAACAAAAATTAAATTTCAAATATTTCTCCAGTTTGCATTCACCTTGAGAACTATGAAAGTTTGCTCAGTATGGCATTGAGGCCCTTTAGAAGGCTCTAAGACCTTATTTCACCCATTTAACTTGTGCATAAAAACAATAGGAGGAACTCTAAGAAAAATCCATGGTTACTGTTTGCTTAGCAAAGCCAACTGTACTCTGAATGAAACTGAGTCTCTGTACTCATACGCAAACCTGAACACACATAGAAAAGAAAATTGCTTTTGTGAAAATGTGAATTACTTGGTAGCTACAGACTCAGCATTTCATGTAGTTGTATAACAAAAACTAAAAATCAAGCTCTTAAAATTAGCGAGATTGCTATAGTTATTAGGTAGGAGTGAATTTAATGTTCTTGAAATTGAAGGTACAAGTTTTCTTTTCCTTGCATCTTATCTAAAATTTTTGTAATGCACAGTTTTACTTATGGCTTCCTTTTCTGTAAAAAGAATTCACTTTCATGGTTCACAAGCTTCGTGCCTATTTTGTCTTTTAAAGTGTTCAGACACGAGTGATCCATAATTAAAACACCATTTTCAGTTAAGTGTTTGCTAAAATCAGAGCTTCACATCTTTGTTTTTTGAGGTTGTTTACTTTCTCCAATCTCTGTTCTGTCAGGCTTCAGAAATAGCTGAGTTAGTGTTTTGGAAATCACATGTCTTTGCTGGGAGCATTTTCCAACCAAGAATGGCTGCCTGGGCTTTGTTCTCATAATTCCTGTAGTCATTATGACTTAAAGAAAAAGATTGATTCATAATCAGTGAAATGGCAAATGAAAAAGTATTTCTTTTCCACAGTGTTATACAATGACTTATAAAATGCAATGATGTTCAAGTGGAAGACTTATTACAGAAACAAAAGGCTAAATTATAAAAACAAACTTCAGAACCACATGTTTTGATCAGTCATACTTTTAAATGGAAAAAGTACAACATTCATCAGCCTTCCAAAGTGCCATGAACTAATACAATTTAATGATGCAAAATTTCTGTTTTGCTTTGTTTTACCTTTCTGCACAGAAAAGGACCAATGGACTCCGAAGAACCCCCAGACAGGTGGATCCAGGTGTGTTTCTGATTACTCACCTATAATCACAACCTCAGATAAGTGTTTATGAAAGCATATGGGAACGGCTGTAGAAAGCCAGACAGGTGGCTGGCCTTTGTTCCTTGCAGTTTGGTATACGATGTATGACCGGGAGGCTCCAGTCCAGTGTGTGATTCATTTACTAGCCGTGGTCATGTGATGAGCGACCACCAGTGCCTCACTCTTTCAGCAGTCTGTGATTCAGCTGGTTATTTGCTCACTGAACAGCCTCAGGGCGGCCGGTTCAAACTAACATATCCAACATCCTTCCCCTAATGTGGAGAGAAAATCAACCAGTAAGTGGCACTTAAAAAATGAGCATTTTCTAAGAGGGTTGGGGAGTTAATTAACCACACAACTTGGGTCCCTTCCCCTTTGGGAAAATATTTTTCTTTATCCTATATATAAACTATTTTAGAATGGGAGAATGAATTTAAAGAGTTTGTGAGCAAGTATCCTCTCTGGAGACCAATTATTTGTCTGCAGAGAGCATTCAGTACTTTTCTATTTAACATTGTTATGTTTGCCCTGTTGTTATTCCAGTATAATTATTTTTTCATCCACTAAGCAATGCCTTCCACAGTTTAATTACCAAACATTTGTTATGAATGTGATTGTATTATTGTGGGTAGAAGGTATTCAAAGCTACAGGATTCCAAATATATGAACTTGATGAGAAATCAAATGGAATGTGAAGTAGCCTTGCTGGAAAATAATCTGGATTGTGTGTTTTGTGTTCTCATCATAAACAGTGTTCACCTAGTTGTAAAGTTTAGCTTTCAAAGCATTAAGCTTTTAACCGAAACCACACCCAAGGTAGCCATGCTGTTTTATGAGCCTTTTGAAAAGATTTATAGGAGTTCTGTTGCCTCTGGCTAGAAATTGCCTCACTTGTGCCCCGAGATCAGTTTAAATCTTTTAACTACAGAACAAAATTGAAGCCATTTAAAAAAAAATAGGGGTTCTGGTTTACTTTTTAATAGTTCTTACTTTCCCAAGACGACAACCTTTGCCAATGACTCTGATAATATTCAGAAGTGACTATTTTCTGTTCTCTTTAGTAGAAGTGTATGATGGTGAACATATTTTTTTTTCTTTTCTGTGTGACTTGCAGTATTTCTATTTCAGAAAATTATCTAACCTTTATAATGTTCTTGTAAAAATATTTTCTCTTTCTTTGGTGGGCATTTTCATTTAATCCATTCTCCCTCTGGGAAATGCATTTCTAGATTTATAGTGCATCAGTAGGAACACATTTAACTATTAATAATTTACTTTGCAGCCAAAATTTTTAGGAGTCCTTAGATTATTTAAAGGGAGTTATAGCAAATTCACAAATCGTAAACATTACCAAAGTGGACCAGTAATAAAATACCCTCCTTTATCCTAAAAGTGATGGCTTTGTACAGTCACAACTCTTCCAGTATTCCTATTGTGGGAAGATTTTAGAACTTCATGAAGAATAAACTCACAAAAAATGTGCTATATGTTATGTTTGTAAGAATATATACATACACCCCATTACACTCACTCTTCACCAGAATAGTAAGATGCTACAGAATCATTGTATATATACACACAATATGTATTATGTGTGTGTGTATATATGTAAAATATAGCTTTTCATTAGGTATACTGAATAAATATATATGAGTAATTTTTCATTTTTCCACATTAAAAAAAATAGTTGATGATCTTGCCCATTGTACATGCTGAAGTGGTAACAACTGTTTCTCTCTGTAGGTGTGTTTTGATGTTAGACTTGAATTACCTGTGAAGGTTGGTTGTCTGTGTCTCTGCTTCTTTTTGTTAGCAAGTTGCAAAGCTTTTTTGTTCAGAGTTACCTCTTGCTTTATCACTGACATAGGCTGAGTTGATCCTGAGTGACTATTGTTTAGCAGATTTCCCTCTCGGTTACATTCACCCCAACATGTTTAAACAAGAGATCAACAAAACTGAGGCTTCCTCAGCATGGACAGACTGCTTCCAAAGGGCATTATTTGCTCTTAGTTCTTTTACCATGGAAGTTCCTTTAATCTCTTCTGGCTACTTTAGTTAACATCTCCAGATGTCAATACACTGACTACTTTCTAGGGAGTTACTAAGGTTGACTTCAGAAAGAATGGATTAACTGTAGACCCATTGTTTCAGAAAAGAACTGAATGCATACTTCTGTGGGTAGTAGGTGCTAAATAAATATTTGGTAAATGAATTAATGAATAAGTCTATACTTCCCTGCATGCACTGGCTCTCTTGCTCTTTAAATTTCTCTGCTGACAAAGTGGACTGATGTCCTAAGGCATATGGAACAGTCTAGTGATAGGAAACATGGCTTCTAGTCACATTACCTGGGATGGGGACCCAACTTAGTTGTTCCCTTACTATTGACCTTCGGCAGTTTGCTTCCTTCCTCTGCTGCAGTTCCCTGTTTGTAAATGGGGACTAGTAACAGTACCTACCTTAAAAGTTGTGAGCATTACATACATGAATTAATATGTATAAAATATTTATAACAGTGCCACATAAGCAGTAAATGCTAAGAGGTAGCAATTATTAAAATTACTTTGTGGTAGAGTATGTTATTTAATATTGGACATTTTGTCATGTGTAAGGAGAATCATTATTTGTCAGTTATTTCTTTGCAAACAAACCCAGAAGTTTATGTTGACCTTCCATTGAAGCTAGAAACTACATAATCATAATCATGTTCAGATTTGCTATTACTCCCTGCTTACCTAATGGTCTCCATGATATTCTGGTTGTCTTTAAGAAGAGAAACAATTGTCAGTGGTGGTTGAGAGTTTTTGGTGATGGTACTAGTGTTTGTAATTGCGTTGAAGAAACAAAGAAAAACTCCCACATTGAAAACATATATTGTAGGATTCTATTCAAACTAAGAAAAATGTGAGCTCTAGGTTTGCATTCTGTCTTACTGGCACATTTAAAACCTTGACTCTTTATTAATAATTGTGGTTAATCTTGATAGATAATATTTGCAAATGAATTTGCAGTTTTCTTTTGTGTGCTAAGACATTTATCGATTTATGACTTGACTGCTCTTCTAAATTCAGTATTGTGTTAGATGGAAATTCTGGTAGTCCTTTTGGATTTCTTAAATATAGCAAGGTATTTTCATCAGTTTGTACTTTTCTTCCTAAGATAGATGTTGGTTCAGGAAAATAACACTTGTAAGAGACAGATCAATTATTTCAGGAACACAGAGGTGCTAGGCTTTTTCAGCAACATGAGATCATAAATCTCAAGAAAATCTGAGCACTGGTGTAATATTTATAACCTAAAATGGCACTGAAGGTCAGAGTTACCAATTAAATTTTAATACCGAGCTTTAAAAATTTCCTTCTATCTAAGTATAGAATATACCAGATTTTATTTTAGTTTGCATGTGGCAAATCTGTATACCAGGACATGTATTCTTTTGATAAAGTTCATGTTTTTAGACTATTAAAAATGGTGGTGGAGTTCATAGCATTTTGTATTTAAGTTTGCAGTCACTAGCTTTTAAAAAATTCAGGCCGTTGTTCTGTGTTGTGCTACCTAAAGATTAGGTGAAATAGATGGGAAATGTTTACATAGCTCATTCTCTTTCTGATCTGAAATTACTTGTGTGATTCGTGATAACCTTGACTAGTAAATGAAATGAATAGTCAGTAAATGGCTTAAATTGGTAACAGAGTTCTTTCTGAGAGCTGTTACTTTGCGTGTGCTCATAGTTTAACTCTCAATTGTAAAGAGAACCATGAGACTTAGAAATGCTGTCTGTTCTGATTCACTGTTTCTTTGCAGAAACATCCTCAAAAATGGTCACTTTCTTTCAGGTGGATGGGATTGATTTATAATGCCATTCCTATTTGTTCTTGCATGAAGAAAGTAACCCAAGAAGTCTTTCTTTCATTACCAACTTCGTGTCTTACACAGCTAAGCACCAGCAATATCATTAATTATAAATCATGGCCTTCCACAAGGAATTTATATTCTGCCTAAGGAAGGAGTAGATACAGGCACAAAGTCTTGATTGCATAAATGCATTATATGAATGTACAAATGAAATATTTTGATGTTGGATACTTTTTTATATACTGATTCACTGTGGTATGGCACAGTGTCATAAAAACAATTAGTGAATTGTCTGATAAACATAAAAAGGTGTAATTATGTAGCATATGCAAAAAAGCAAAAGGAATTGAAAAGGAGAAAAGCAAATGTGGGCTCAGATTGCTTTTAAGCTGGGTGGTCTATATATGTTTTCATTTATATTAAAAAATTGGTATGTTGGTTTGTTGCATTGAATCATAATAATATGGTTTTAATTAATGTTTTAATTTCAAAGGACTGATAAACTCATTCTAGTCTAAAGAGAAATGTTGATTTCTTTAGATTTGCTTTTAAATGTAACGTCACTTACTCAATAGAGAAAATTTATATTTTTATTTCCAAAGAGAAAACATTGATGAGAAAAATAGCATGCTGAGATTTTTAAAATCACTGATCTAAAAATATGTTGTTCTCTTTCTTATGAGGGAGATGAATGTATACTCTTAAAGGCTTTAGTAAATGAGCTTTTTTTCTACAATAAATAAGTAATAAAGCATCCATACATTGCAATGTTTCCATATTAACCAGTCAAACCTACTTCTGTCTTTTCTGTCACCTCTAAAACTAATTTCTCATCAAATATAAATCCTAATCTAAATATTGGGAGCATAATTGTAAATGTGTAAAAATACATTTCACATTGAAAGAATGAACTTGAAAAAACTGGGACAATAGAACCTACTGATTAAGATTCATTGCAGAGAAATGAGAAATCCAAGCTGTGAATGAGTGCTGGAGAGCCTGCTCTGGTTTTTAAAATAGTGATTTGTTCTCGGGCTTCTATTAAAGTATGGACAATAAGACTAGTTTTGCACTAAGGCAGTTGATCCCCTTGTAGTTATTTTCGAGACTGCCTTTCTAATTCC